GGAGTTCCCATACACCTGGACCCAGCTGCCCTGGGAAATGTTAATATTTTACACTAGTGGGGTACCTTTCTCATAACAACCAATACTGATATCTTTTTAAGTAAATACTATGATTGATCTGGATTTCATAACGTTTCCCTAATGCCCTTTTGCGGGTCCAGGACCCCACATGCACTGAGCCGGTTCCCTTAGGCACCTCTGGGCTCCTCCAGTTTCCCAACCTTCCCATTTTTGGATGAGCTTGGTGGTTTTAAGAATCACTTATTAGGTATTCTGCGGAAAGCCCTTCTCTTCGGGTTTGTGTGATGGTTTTCTTATGTCTGGACTGGCATTTCAGGTCCAGGGATGGGGACCTCCAAGGATCAGTGGCCTTCTTGCCTTACACCCAGGGCAGGTGCTAGCTCTGTGCTGGTCACTGCAGTGAGCCTTCCTAACCTGGCTGAGGCGCTGCACTTCAGGTCCCCCACGCCCCATCCATACTGCACTTTTGGGAAGCAAGTCACTGAGCAGCCCACGGAAGGGGTGGGGAGCTCTGCTCCACCCCAGGAGCAGGGCATCTCAGAGGGTTCTCTTTCAAAACCTGAATCAGGTCCTATCGTCCTCCACTGCTATTAAATAAAATAAATGACTCTAAGAATCCCAACACCCTGGCCCTAGTTTACCCTGACTCAGAGTGGCCCCTGGGAACCCGCCCTTGCCGCTGCTCCATGGCGGCCCCTTGCTGGGTTTCAAACACGCCCATCTCATGCCCACTTTGGCCTTCGTATTCCCACTGCCTGGCATAAAGCAGGCTCTCCCCAGTATCACCTGTGGAGTGAACAAGGGCGTGAATCCCCATCCTGTAGAAAAGACGGTCAGGAAAGGTAAGTCCTGGCCAAGGTCACTGAGGCAGGGCACCGTTGGGCTGGGCTTCAAACCCAGCCTCTTGGCCTCAGCACCTGAGGATACAGCCACTTCCCCTCCTTTCCTTCCCAGGATAGAAACTCCCAAGGTGGAGGCTGCTCCGTGGGAAGAACCACCCACTTCCCAGGAAGCAGAAGGAGAGGAGGGAGCACCCCCGCCAGGCCAGACCTCGAGCCCTGAACCTCATTGACCCTCGCAGCAGGCACAGCTGGTGAGGCCGGGCACCCATGGCCACAGGAGGTCACTACCACTGCCTGTGTTGGCACACAGGAGCCCCAGGAGCTGCTCCCGCAGAGCCCCCAGCCTCACCATCCTCAGTCTCCACATAGAGGCGGAGTCCCAGGTCCTTGTGACGCTTCAGCAACCAGTGGTCACTGGCTGCTGTGATGTCCAGTGCCAGCCAGCCCTCATCCCCAGCTCCAAGTGTCTGAAGATCCAAAAAGAACAAGTCAGATTCCCTGTGGACATGAAAGAACAATTAACTGGCGGCCGGCACAGCTGCCTCCGTGTCTGCAGGGCCCGCCTGGGGGCTGTCACAGGAGTGTCTCCCACCTGGCTCTGGTCCGTGCCCCTTCTGAGCCTCATCTCACTGCCTCAGCAGAGGTGTACACATGGGGAAACTGAGGCTCAGTGACCTGTCCAAGTCCCCACAGCCAGGATGGCAGGACAGGGATCTGAAGGCAGGACTGTCACTGGGTGTGGGAAGTAGAAAATTTCCTTTTTAAAGTTTCCTTTCTTGTTAAAGAATAAGTGTGCTAATAAGTGTTAAGTTTAGATTGTGAGGTCAGGCTCCAGCCAACAGATTAGACACAGCAGTAAGGACGACCCCAAATGCATAAGGGATACATTTGCGTGTTTTCCATTGTTCACTGCACTCTCGCAGCAAGATGGCCAGTGAGAGTGCCCTTCCTGCAGGCCAGGAAGGAAAAATTGTGTTGCTGAAATATCCTTTGTCTCAGTGCTAATTTTTCTTTGTGGCACCGAGCATCTATTTCCAACACTGGGGCTCTTCCCACAGTGCAGGGGCCCTGGGCCAAGCACCTCTCCTGTCTTTGAGGTTCTCTTTTGGGTCCTCTGGGAAAGGCTCCACTCACCCCCACTCCCTGCTGGGCTGCCTTGACCATGAGACTATGAGGCGGGTTGGGTGGGGAGCACCCAGGCCAAGGGGAAGGCACCTGTTGAACTGCTCCTGGACCACCTGGAACATGCTGACGTGGAGGGTGCTGTTGAGCAGGTGGGTGCTGGGCACCTTGTAAATCCGGAACTCCGCGGCTGTTACAGCCTCCCCAGCTGGGATCTGGGTCAGGTCAAAGTGGAACTCCTTCCAGTGGGGCTCCTGGTGGCCCAGGGCACGGTCTCGCTCCACTAGAAGACAAAGCAGAGCTGGGCTGGCACTTGGAATGGCTCGGGCTCTGGAGTGGGCAGAGCTGGTGTGAGCCGCTGTCCCCAGCTGCCCACTGCTCAAGGTGCAGGGGGACCCAGGAGGCCTGGGTGGGGCTGGCTTCGTCCTCTTCAAACGTGTGTTCCAGGCTTGGCCCCATGGCGTGGGCAGGGCTGAGGGGCTGTTGCAACCAGGCACACCCTGAGCCCTGCACCTGGCTGTGCTCAACAGGCCCCAGGCTCCACACCCCAAACTCCCATTGCGCCCCTTCTCGGCCCTGGCTGGTGCTGGGACCCACAGATGAGACAGAGCAGGGAGCTTCCAGCTAAAGAGAAGATGGACATTGGACCCAAGGCAGAAAAAAGCCCTGAACCTGCGGGGAAACCTGGTAGTCAGGGACACAACCGACGGCATGTCAGGGGACACGGGCCATCCAGAGGCTGCCCACTGCCGGGATGAGAGGTGCAGCCGGGAGGGCTCAGGGCTGACAGCTGAGCTGGGCTGAGGCCCGAGTGTGAATCTGCCACGGTGTCAGGGAGATGGGCCCTGCAGGGGCCGGCCAGCCAGGGCAGAGGGTCAGAGCGGAGGGGCCTGAGGGCAGGGCAAGCACCAGAAGACAGCAGAGGGCAGGGGACCCACGTTTCCTTTCTGGAACAAGGTGCAGGAAGAAGGAGGGAAATGTGGAAAGGAGCAAGAAAAATCAGGGCAGGAGTGACAGCTCCCGGAGTGGCCCCGTCAGGTGCTAGGGAGGTCGAGGGTCCCACTGGGTGGTGGGATGTGAGCAGGTGGCATCTGAACTGGCCTTAAAGGGTGGGATGGGGTCCTGGTAGGCGGAGAGGTGGCAGAGGGGGCGCTCTAGGGAGAGGGGACCTCGCATGCACAGGTGTGGAGGCGCCCACAGGTCAGCAATGTTGGGGACTGCGCGTGAGCTCGGCTGCGGCCTGCCTGCTGAGGGTGCGAATCCCCGGCCAGGAGCCTGGGCTGTGCCTCTGGCCAGTGGGGAGCACAGGGGTTGTGGGTAGCAGGGGGCGGTGTGGGTGGAGGGGAATAGGAAGACACTGCGGAGGCGAGGGTAGAGGCCAGGCTGGAGGTGAGATGGGCGGCAGGGCCATGTGGCGGGGGCTGACCTGCCAGTCAAACAAAGGAATGAAGCCCACATTGCCCCAGGTGCCCGGAAATGCCCGGGACGCTACATTTAGGGCAGTCTCACTTTAGCCTCCCGTCCCTTTTAAACTCCAGAAATCTGTGTTTCCAGAAGGCAGGGGTGGGAGCCGCCCAGTGCCTTCCGCAAAACCCAACACTGAGATTTCAATGATATGTTTGTGAGTCTTTTTAAACATTCTCTCTGGTTACTGGGCTCAGTGACCACAGTCAGGTTTGTAAAAGCACCAGGCTGTGCGGGCTGCAGCGGATGTAGGAGCACTTCCTGTCCTCGAGGTGGGGACCTGGTCCAGCCGTGGGCAGGCAAACAGCTGTGCGGGGCAGGGGATGGGGCCAGACGTGTGTGGGCAGGAGGTGATGGGCGCTCATCCCAGCCCAGGGCAGAGCGGGAATGAACCTGCCTTGTCCCACAGCACCCGAGGGTGTCTTTGAAGTCTTAGTTTTTGGTCAGAAACAGGACTTTGAATTATGTTTTTCTAAAAATATGTATTATTTCACTCATCTCATAAGTTCATCATATTTAATTTGGAAATACATTTACCTAGTTCTTTTTTTGTGGGGGACAGGTTCTCACTCTGTTGCCCAGGCAGGAGTCCAATGGCATGATCTTGGTTCAATGCAACCTCCGCCTCCTGGGTTCAAGCAATTCTCCTGCCTCAGCCTCCCCAGTAGCTGGGATTACAGGCGTCCACTACCATGCCCAGTTAATTTTTGTATTTTTAGTAGAGATGGGGATTCACCATACTGGTCAGGCTGGTCTGGAACTCCTGACCTCAAGTGATCTGCCCGCCTTGGCCTCCCAAAGTGCCAGGATTACAGGCAGGAGTCACCACGCCCTGCCTAGAAATACATTTACCCAGTTCTTGCTGTGTGTACAACACTATTCTGGGCACTGAAAATACAAAAATGAATAAGAAGATACTTTTTCCACACTCATGGAGTTTACCATCTAATGGAAAACATAAAAGATAAACAAAAAGCAAGTAAAATATGGGATGTAATTTCTATTGTTCTACTCCAAATGCTTTGAAGGAAACAGAAAAGGTTATGGGTTCAAGAGTAACAGGTGCTTTTCATAGGGTGCTCTGTATAGCCTTTGACAAGGAAAAAGATTAAGATCAGACATGAACATTCTCAGGCATTGCTGATAGGAATGCTATATAGAGGAGAAATTTGGCGATACCTAGCAAAATTACATGTGAATTTACCCTTTGGCACAAGAACCCCAAAGACATACTGGCAAAATATGAAAAGACATGTGCAGAGGGTAATTCACTGGTCACAGGAAAGACACCAACCTATACCTGGTTCCACAGGGACCTCTAAATGTTTATTTTCTACAAAATCATAAAAGCTGCCTCAAATGGGCTAATGCGGAACCAGCTTCTGTCTGGGGAAGCAGCAAATGAATTTACTTTATAAATCATCTAAACCACCTTAATGTGACTCCTGGGAAAATAAACAATCATGAATCACCAATATGTGCAGATGGAACCCTCAGCCTCCTCCTCTAGCCATGGATAAATCAACCTCTGGACCCCACGCTTCCAGGAAAGGCCACTGTGGGCAGGAGGTGGCTTCCACTGGCCACATCTGGGGCCCTGTGCCTGCCACTCCAGCCTAGGCCTTCAGATGCCAAACCCTGAGACCTTCAGCCCGACACCAACAAGGGCCCTAGCTATTTTTGTGCCCTGGGCAATTTAGTCTCATCCACACAACCTAAATCTGTCTTATTTCTGACTAAAAAGCGGGACTTCAAAAGACACCCTCTTCCTTCAGCTCAGAACAGAATCCTGTGGCCTGTGACCCGTCCTGCCTCCCCTCAGGCCCTCCCTGGCCCCGAAGGGCCCACAGGAGGAGTGTCACAGGCCCTCCCTGTGCTAGCCCTGCCATCTGTCCCTCCGGCCTCTTGTGCCTTCTGGCTGCAGATGCCTCCCCCAGACTCCTTCCTGGAAGCTACTCTCCCTGGGCAGCCTGCCCCTCTCTGTTCAGCTGAGAAGCCTCCCAGTCCTCAGACCCCACGCAGGTCAAGCTTTTGGCCTCTCCTAGCACCCATGCCAGGCCTTGCTGTCTCTGATCCAACTGTTCCTCTGGACGGCGAGCCCTTGGAGGGCCGGGACCGAGCCACGTGTGAACATCAGAGGCTCCCATGTGGCTCATCGGCCACCGTGTTCCAGGGCCCCAGAGTGGGGCTGTCCCATCCTTTCTTCCTGTGGGCCGCTTGTCCCCAGGACAGCGGCTCCGTGTTTGGCACTCACAGCCTTTTGGGCTGGGTATTGCTGCCAGTCTGGGTGTGGCTGCCATGTCCCTGTGTGAGTCCATCAGAAGCCACCGACATTCCCGCTGCTGTGGACCTGCCTTCTCTCCCAGCCTGGCCCCTGCGGGTGGATGGTGGCTCCCCCAGAGCTCGGGGTGCATGGGCCGGGCCTGCCTGACTGGTCCCACAGGCAGCAAAGGCGGGAAGGGAGACCCCATTTCAGACCCGAAACAAGGCCCAGACCCCACAGCCTCTGCAGGCCAAGGGAGGCCAGGACCCATGACCTGTCGGTTCTGCGTCCTGAAGAGGCTTCTCCCACCCAGAAATCTCAGCACCGCCTTGAGGCGGCCCAGGGCTCCATGTGGAGGTATTTCCAGCCGGGTCTCATCACTGGCTTGTTTCAAGGGCTGTTTCCATATATGGCGCTGCTCTCATAATTACCGGTCCGGCCTCAGACGGCTCTGGACCCCAAATTAAAAGGGAACACCCACACACGCCACCACATCAAGCCTGCCAAGGCCAAGAATAGATCCCAGGAGATGTGAGCAAGAAAGATGCAATTCCTCCAGTTAAATCCCAGGAAAGAACTGAACTGTGGGAATTTTCCGGAAAGATTGTGACACATCCTCTCTTGCCTGTGGGGAAGAGGCCCTGGGAGGAGGGGGGCTGGGTGAACCTCCCCACCCTGTGCCTCACCCTGCAGGAGCCCCCATCAGCAGGCAGGGGGTGGGCACATTCTTTGGTCAGAGCTGGAAAGGCCTTCAGGCAACCTTGCAGAGGTGGGGAAACTGAGGCAGAGGAGGGGCAGAGGGTTTCCAGAGTCACATGTCAGATTGGAGGCTTGTGATGTGGATGTTCACACTTGGGGCCAATGTGAAACGAGCGGTCCCAGAATTAATGGGAAATACCGGGATGGGGGTCACCTGCCAACAAGGCCCTCCTGTCAACAGACACCTGAGAATGCCTGTGAAGCCCCCTCCCTCCAGGCAGGGCCCAGCGGGGACTTGGGGTCCCAGGGGAGGGCCCAGGGAGCTGCGGCACCCATCGTTGGCCCCACACAGACAGGGAGGGCGGCTCCGCTCTGTCCCACTGACCCAGGCCCAGGATCCCCCCAATTCTCCTTGCTCCCTGCCTCCAGCCGGGCACCTCTTTCCTTCAACTTCCTGCCACCGGGTGAGAGCGGGGGCTGGGAAGAGTCAGACTTGGTCCCTATTCTCAGGTTGTTCTGGGGTTGCTGGCAAGTAGGAGAAAGAGGGGCTTGGTGTGCCCCTGGATCGCACAGGCAGAAAGCGAAGAGAAGTGCACGCAATGCAGGACAAGCGCTCCCATCAAGGTCACGGTCACGGTCATGTATGGTGCCTTGGAAGGAGGCAGAGAAAACTTTCCTTGAAAACATATTCAAGAGGGGTGGAAGAACTCTGAGGAACAGAACTGGAGGGGAGTCACCTAGGGAAAGCTGAGAGGTGGGAGATGCTGTGCCAGGTGGCACTTTTTAAGCACTGACCCGTGTGTCAGGCACCATGCTGCACACATGCTGTATGTCCTTCCTGTTCATGCTAACCTGAC